GCTTGCGACAGCATCGTAAGGGGGCATCGCGAACCCTCCGCTTCTACGGCAGCGGCGGGGGCGGCCACGCGCAGCCGGCGAGAGGCGTGGCTCGGGAGAGGGTCGCGGCCGCGGCCGTTGTCATCATCAACGGCGGCAGCAGACTGCTGCAACCCATGACCCAACCCATGACCACAGGCAGCACCACTTTCGCCTGTGTTGTCGTATCTCGCGGGTCGGCGATGGCCCCTCGGCGGCCTGCCGCCGGTAGGTCCGCTGTTCTCGTCGCTCTGCATGTTTGTACGCTGGCGCTGCCGCCTGCCTGAAGGCTGTGGTGTGTAAATGCTGTACGTTTTCAAACCGAAAAGTCTGAGAAATTCAAAAAATGGACCGCCTGACGTTAAGAAACGTCAGGCGGTCCGTTCGGATTTCTCCGAAAGCCAGTCGGCATATTCCAACAAACCGAAGAATCGTTAAGAACCCTCCTAAGGTGGTAAGTTTAAAGCTGCGTTCGTCAAAGAAAGGACACGTGTCCCGGACGAGCGTAGTGCTGACGCTTTCGCGCCTCGGATGCTTGGGCTGCGATTCCATCGCTGGTCGCGCTGCCGTTCCGCAAGTGTACCTGTGCTTGCGGGTCTGCGTGTGTGACATCGAGGAGTATTCCTTTGTTGCGGTACCCCGGAGAAGATGCGTTCGTGAGGGCTCCTGGCCTGATGACGATGTCCATGCTCAGGTTTCTTTCCCCCGTGAACGGTGTTGCATCTATCTGTCATCGACGGGAGTTAGTTGGGAGACCTTCGTTTGTTTGCAAAAATCGGGAGCTGCATCATCGCTGAGGGCTTGAGGCCTCGCTCGCGTAGCAATGCGCGTCTCCCAAGGGTGGCAGTTTCCGCAGTGGGAGCCCGGGCGTCCGCGTGCACATCGATGGTCGGTTCTGTTCTGCTGATGAGACCTTGAAGTACTAAGCAGTACCAGCAGTTCGCGAAATTCGCGTTGTTTTTGTTCGTAGTTTTAGTTGCTTCTCTGTATTTGAGCTGGCGCGCTGCTGCGGCTACAAGTGCGATAGTTTTCCGTGCGGGTCGTTGCAGTTCGCACGGTTACATACATGCTAACTTTGTCAAGATGTTGAACTAGAGTAATAAAGCATATTATTGGTGAAATTGAGAGCGAAGCATCTAATTGAGAGCGAGATTGCGCGATGCGCTGCAGCTGGACTACTGCTGAGAGGTGGAGCTTGCTGTGTAGCTTGAATTGAAGCGCCAGCCCGTAGCTACAAGCAGATACCCTGGTCATTCATTCATCCTGTGGGAGTCTCTCGATGTGGAGTTGGTTACAGCGGCGAGCAGAAGCAACAGCAGAGCCCACCGCCCGAGGCCAAACCGCCCTGCAACAGTTTGAGGCGGGAATAGCCAATCTTATCTGGGGAAATCTAGCAACAACTTGTCTAGCTCCTAGCTGATGCATCCGATGACAATGACACGCATATGCTCGTGACGCTGCTGATGGTGAGACCTTCAATTTGCGCCGCTTCTTGGAAGGGCCCGCCCCCTACTTCCCAAGAAATATGGCAAGAAGAGGCATCTGGACCCTAATTTTCAATTTTTTGGCTCTCGCTCTCAATTTCACGCTTCGCTCTCGATTTCACCAATAATATGATGTTTCGGACTCAAATATTTTCGGGAATAATGTTTGTGGTGTCGGCGCGTGTGCTATGTTATTATCACGCTCGCGGGCTCTTGTCGAGAGCATTTGTGCACAAAGGATTGACTCAAGTTCCTTGATTATTAACGAGTGACAAGCATGAGCAGCAGGCAAGAAGGACCTGCTGCTGCACACACGTCTGCATATACCCAAACCTATCATATCTGCGTACCCCCTCGGATATCTCGGAGATCTGTATCCTGCCGAGTACATGAGAATACATACACAAACAAATAAGGAAACATTTTTTGAGATATTGTAATTAAGCCGTCGTTCTGAGGATCGCTTCCGACAGTCTCACCAGAACCCGCAACAAACAATGAAAATTTTTACAGAATTAAGAGCCAAGGGAGGCTTTGTTTGTGGAAAAAATATCACGATTTATTTTCACATCACACGCACCACCGCACGCACACACAGCAGTCTGCTGAGAACATGTCAGCGCGGCCGAAGAGAAGGCCCCAGCACCGAGCGAAAGGCCTTGGAGTTGGCGCGCCACCAACACAAGAACAGGGAGGCTGCACGGTCAGAACGTTGGGTTTGTTTTCGGCTGGCTTGAGGTCGGCAACACCCCCGTCAGATTGAGGCAAGGGGGAGGAAGAGCGCACGAACATAGAGGTGGTGGCAACGCCGCCAGCAAAGAAGAAGAGCAGAGAGGAGGAAGAGCACGTAGTGGCCTCCTGGTGAAGGCGGGCGCGTCCTTCCGCGCGCAAGAGTATTTATTTTCTCTGGTGTCTACTAGATAGAAAGAAGAGCGTTTGACTCGGATGTGCCTCCCGGTCCTACCCCCCCCGTCTCTCTCCCGAACGCTTGAAACGCGACATAGCACTTCGTTCAGAGGCTGTCGTCGGCAAGTGTACAGTAATCACTTCCTGTCTCCGTAATCGTGTGGTGCGATTTCGTGTGCTGGGGTTGAGGGAGCGACGCAGACACGGACGCGTGCACGCACGCACGCACGCACGCACACTCAACAGCAGCAGCAGCAGTTAGAGCCCCTTGTCATCAAGCAAGGTGCTCAGCTAGCTGGCACGTAGCGCACCACGGAAAAACAACAGCAAGCACCTGTGGACAGGGGAAATTCGAGGGAGGACTGTTGACCCACAGCCAATCACATGAAGCCGCTTGTATCTAAAAGTTTTCACCTGCACAAAGCTTTCCAGGAAACTTTCTTATCTGAAAATCTGCTTCCTTAAACCGGAAAATTTGGAGTCCCAGTCACTGTGTATTAAACAAAAGCCAAGATCAATATATATCTGACGAGTGTTGAAAAAAAATGAAAACAAAGAAGCTTGTTGTGTACTGTTAGGGTCAGTACAATACATAGTGCCCCGCCCGGTGGTCTATCTAGTGGGTAACCTCGCATCCTGCTAAGTAAGGGTCAGGTCATGGGTTTGAGTCCCGGCAGAGTGAGTTTTTTTCTCATTATTAAATAAATCCTGGTCTAGGATGAAAGCGATGCGTTGCAAAGCTCGTTAGTAACCCACAATCGACTTCGTAAGTCGCGAGGGAAGGGATTGCTGTACCCTTCTCGCGATAAAAATACCTCAGGCAGGAACCGCAGGAGGGGCCCCCCTCCTATGTGACCCCGGCTGGGTCTTCTAGCTAGTAGAAGTGGAGGATAGGGGCCAGAGGGGCAGACGACAGGATTTGATGATGGGAGAAAAAAAAAAAAGTCGCCCCGGTGGTCTAGTGGGTAACCTCGCAGCCTGCTAAGGGTCAGTCAGGTCATGGGTTCGAGTCCCGGCAGAGTGAGTTATTTTCTCACTAAATNCCCCCCTCCTATGTGACCCCGGCTGGGTCTTCTAGCTAGTAGAAGTGGAGGATAGGGGCCAGAGGGGCAGACGACAGGATTTGATGATGGGAGAAAAAAAAAAAAGTCGCCCCGGTGGTCTAGTGGGTAACCTCGCAGCCTGCTAAGGGTCAGTCAGGTCATGGGTTCGAGTCCCGGCAGAGTGAGTTATTTTCTCACTAAATAATTTCTGGTCTAGGATGAAAGCGACGCGTTGCAAAGCTCGTTGTTAGTAAACCACAATCGACTTCGTAAGTCGCGAGGGAAGGGGTTGCTGTACCCTTCTCGCGATAAAAATACCTCCGACAGGACCCGCAGGAGGGGGTCGAGCCCCCCCCTCCTTTGGGGCATCGTTCACAACCTGGGGGGGCAGGTTGTAGGGAGATTGCAGCGCACAGTATGCAAGTTTTTCCGCATCTCGGAGAGAGGCGTTATCCCAACCAACACAGCGGACAGCAAGCCGAAAGAAAACATGGTTTCAAGGATGAACTCGGCCTCCCAACCTCCCCCCCCCCAGGTTGTAGGCGGTGCCCAACCTGCCTTTCTGGCCACCAGTGTAGCCATAATGGTGGTCGAGTAGATTCTATTGTGGGGTCGAGAACCCTCAGTCCGCGCAACCCGCCCCTCACTCCGCGCAAGGGTGCTTGACCATTTTGACCGGCACTTTTGACGAACTGTGTGACTTCAGAGTGTAGCGCTTTGCTATGCGGGGCCAACAGAGTAGTACCACATGAAACTTACATGGTGAGATCGTGGCATGGGCGTCGCGGGCAGACTGCTTTGCCACGATAGGGGTGGTTCCTGCCCTGTCGAACACACATGTATTGCTTAATTAATAAGTTACATGTACATGCTGTTCGACCCAGAGTTGTATACCTTTCTGAATATGGACCTTTGTAGAAAGATGGTGAAATTTATTGAGGTGGGAAATATCAAATGAAGAAGCTGTTCTAGTATGAAGTGCATGATGAGTTTCTTGCCGATCCGAACAAACTTACAACAAGGCTATATATATATATACCCGAAGAGTCTGGTCAGCGCGATGACTTATTTTTTTTATGGTAATATTTACTTTGCCCTCATCATATCGCTAGTGGGACTTCACTGGCTCTGGGGCTTATTATCATAGATAGGTACATCTACTCTACTATAGTAATATACATTCATACGACGTATGAAAGACACCTATGTAAGGGAGGTGAAGCCGTGAGCGGTAGCTTGCTCCTAGAGATAGATGAAGGTTCTGCCTTTTGTTGAGGATCTCTGTGACCGCACCCGTGCAGCTAGACGCGAAGCGAGCAAATTCATCAGGATCAGGACCGAGGGGCAAGCGTGTGACACTAACAAGTTGTTCCGGCTTCAGCTTGTCCATCTTGTCTTGAATGCGGATGGTGTCGGCCTCCGCTGCAGCGGCGTCCGCAGCGTCCAGAGCTTCCTGCCGCGCTCTCGCTCCTGTGGAAGACAAAGGCAAACCAGCATCATCCTGTGGCAACGGCAATGTCGTTTGACCCGGTGGCGCGACCATGTGGCCGGTTGCAGAGCTAGGATCAATCGGAACAGACGCACGCTGGAGGGGGGGGGGCGATACCACCAAAGGCTGTTGCAACAGGGCTGGGGCTGCCGACGCTGACGGTGCCACCGCAGGTCTGACCGGTACTGTCGCCGACATCGTGGCTAATGACGATGATCCTGACGTGGCCCTGGCAGCGGTTTCGGCACGAACATCGCGCCCTACAGGAGCTCCCGAAAAGCTCGAAGCGTGGTCTTGCAGCGGTGTCAGATGCGTTCGTGGAGAAAAAGATGGGGCAGGTGGTGGCACGCCAGGAGCGTGGGGGGGCACAGGAGGTTGTACATTCGCGTCGGCAGCAGCATCCACTACTTGATTTTCTCGCAGGAGAGTGAGTACTTGTTCCAACAGCATTTTAGAACGGGAAGCCGAAGTCGAGGCGTGTGATGCAGCATGGCGTGGTGACTCAACACGTTCGTCCAAAGTCAAGTAGGATGTGGGATGATCCATAACGGCATGGGCAGGGGCATGGCTTTTCACAGCGGCTGAATGTTCACGAAGTTGCATGTTGGCAAGTTTGAACGCCAAAGAAGACATGGTCGGTTGGCCTACATCAGCGGGAGGGCGTAGAACAAGCGGCGAAGAACAGAGAGAAGCGTCTTCTGAAGCATCCTTGTTTTCCCCCAACAACCCAGAGCTACGAAAACCACCCCGATCATGCATCACTTGCCTGTTACCGTGGCCTGACCTCCGTCCCCCTTTTCCGCCGCGACTGCTGTCAGTGCTGGACGCCCTGCTGTTGCCGTCGCTCCGGTTCTGGCTCCGGCTGCGGCTACGCCTAGACGAAGGCGTGTTTCTCCCACGATGGTCTCCGCTCCGGCTGCGCCTACGCCTAGACGAAGGATTGGTGCGCTGTTGACGTTCTGCGCTCCGACTCCTGCTCCGACGGTGGCGGCTCGCCGGCGAAGACCTGGTAGGCTGGTTCCCCAGGGCTTGCCCTCGCCCGTTATCTCCGACGCCGAGCCCTCGCGAAGACTGGGTGGAGCGGCGGTGGTCGTCCGTCCCGCTCTTGGCCGTCGAATCTTGGTCACCCCAACGGTTCGTCCAGCTCTTAGACGCAGGAGCCGCCGACCAACTGTAGTCCTTGTTCCCTTCAGAAACATGTCCAGGGCGTGAAGAGGCCTGCCGGGGGGCTTGCAGATCGTGCTTGAAATTTTGGTTGGGGGCGGCACGAGCAAGAGGCAGCTGGAGTCCTCCATCTTCGGTCACGACCGACGTTCCTTGAGGACCGCTACGAAAGGTGGCACGACGGAGAGCGAATAAAAGCCGGAACACGGACTGCCGCGAAGAAGGCGGAAGTTTCGCGATGTAGGGAGCATGATAAATGTGCCCAAAACCAACGGTGTGCGGTTGGGGAAATTGCGCATGGACGAGTTGTTTTATGCCAGCCTATGCAAAAAGAGCTGCCAGTTTGTCCTCATCGTGGAACGTTACTTCTGCTGCAGGCATCTCCAGCGGGCGGGACAAGAACGCTGTATCGCCAATATGGGACTCGTAAACCGTGGTTGCGGCCGCACACGATGCTCCGTCTTCCGCACCGACCGGAAGACCCAATGTCATCGAAAACTCCGGAGTCGCTGCCCTCTCCCGCCCCTTCTCGTTCGTCGGAGTAGCCGCCACCTCCCGCTCTTTCTTGTGCGGCGAGGCGGTACTACGGGAACCAAGGGGCACCTGGGATTGCGATGGGGGAGGGACGACAATACGACGACGGGGGTAGGGGGAAGGCAAAGCTGCTGTTCGCGGGTCCTGGTGGCGGGGCTCCAGTTCCTCCAGCCGCGATCGGAGCGCCCCCTGCTTCGCCCTAGCAGCTTGGAGGTACGCCTCACGCTCCGCCAGAGCAGCCGCACGCTCCTCCTCCTGCTTCCTCGCAGCAGCAGCCCGAGCAGCCTCACGCTCCTCCGCCTGCTTCCTCGCAGCAGCAGCCCGAGCAGCCTCACGCTCCTCCTCCTGCTCTGCGTCCTCGCGCTCCGCCTTCTCCCGTGCTTCCGCGTGTGCGACCTTTCTGGCAAGGCCGTTGCACCACATCTCGTTCAACGCTCGATAGGCCATAAACTTATCGTGGGGTAAGAGGAGCAATTTTTCTTCCGGGGGAAACGAGAAAGGAGGAAGGAAAAGGGGAAAATCAGACGATAGACGGGCCGCTACGACAATATCCTCCAGAGAGATACGTCCAGTGTTGTAGGCCCGCTCCAGTTCCGCCGGATCTGCCGTGGAGATGTTGGCCAGCAAATTATCGACGGTGAGCACGACGGGCATGGGGCAGCTCCCGTCTCCCGCACCGGCCGCTGGAAGCTGCTCTGCGGTGGGAGCCTCGCTCTCGGCTTCGTAATCCAGGATTTCCACATTGTCGCCCAGGAATTCCACATTGCCGCTGGACATGTTGTCCTTTTCTTTTACCAAGACAGGGCCAGAGAGAGGGTAGCTGCGATCGATTGTGGAAAGGGCAGCAGCGCCAGAGAAAGCAGATGAAGGATAACCAACCGCAGTTGAGGCAGCAGAACCAAGAGCAGCAGAAGCGGTAAAGCCCGGTGCAACTTCGGGAAAAGCAAGCCGAGGTCCATGCGAAAGGCGGAGATATCCACAAGATAGCATACGCCCAGTGATAAAAGCTTGGTGCACACGAGGTTGAAGCGGATCCAACCAAGCAGAAAAAGCGTCCAAACGCACACCATGCCACGCACAAACAGCAGTAGATGTTCATGTGTTTGGACACGGACTGGTAGATCTGTCGACAACACGAAAACACACAGATAAGGGCATAGGTATACCATGACGGTTACAATGCGGTGGAACCTCTCGAGCTCTCTCAAGCTTATCGGGACCTCACTCTTCCTCCGCTCCCCTTTCCCTTGCTAAATACAAACGATAAAAAAAATATCCCCCTTCCAAGTAAAGGACATACAAACGTACGAATACACTAGTGTACATCCCTCGAGGGAGTCCATTAGGAAATGGCGGACCGCGTAGCCGGGGAAAATATCCCTGGCGGAACGTCGGAGGGAGACCAGAGCTCGGCAGAGCTCACGAGCCTCAAAGCGGATATAGGCTCACTCGCAGAGCAGATCAGCAAGTTGACGGTACTGGTAGGCGGGCTAACACGGAAGGAGGAGCCCAGCGACGCCAGAGGGGGCGACGCTGGCCGCGGTGACGCTAGAGAGAGCGCCGCCGCGGCGTCTGCAGAAGTCCAAGAAGGGGCATCGCAGACTGGGAGCGCGCAGGACGACACGTACCTGCGCGAACGTTTCGGAGACTCTGGTCCGCAAGGACGACACAGCGGCGAAACAGGGGGCTATGTCCCCCAAGAGGTGAGAGTAGCCGCTGCTCACAATCCAGGTGGTTTTAGTAGCACCATAGGAGGTGGTGCTGCTGCTGGCTTTACCGGCGGCTTTGGTATTCCTGTCGGGAGTGCAGGATACCAGAGCGTGAGGTACTCCTCACCCCCGTTTGACGGGAAAACAAAAACATTTAAATCATGGCTTCAGGATTTCGCCTGGCAGCAAATGGAGCAAACCTGTTGGACCACCTTCAGGAGGGGAGAGTGAAGATCCCCGTGAATAGCGGACGAAGCAAGTCGTTATTGTGCCAACAATACCCAGCCGAGCAAGTTGAGCTCGCGTTTCACGCGTGGAATTTTCTGAACCACGCTCTCATCAAAGAGGACGATAAAAAGACGATGAAAAGGGCAGAGACGCCCCAGGGAGCCATCCGGGATTTAAAAGGAAAGTACGACCCGAAATCAGTAATGCAACCGGTTGACGACGTGGATGTGTTCATGACATTTACGGTCCCCACGAATAAGAACCCACAACGTGTCTCCGTGACATGCTAGCAACTGGTGAACGACTTAACCAAGAAGGGCTAGGTATCAACGAAGGATTTGTTCTCCACCGCTTTGTGTCCGCCCTTTCGGATGAGTACGCTATGACGAAACATGCCCTGCGACGCACGAAAAAGCTGACCAAGGAGCAAGTGATGAGGGAGATCGCAATCGAGTACAAAGCGATCTTGGAGAAACAAAAGAAACGCAACGGCGCACGAGGCGCCAAAAGAGCCTACATCGCCGACGGCGGCGGCCGGAAGGGGCAGTCGTCTAGCCGTGGCCGCGGTCGTGGCGGCCGAGGTCGTGGAGGCGGTCGCAACGGTGGCCGCGGCGGTCGCAGCG